TAATAAATATTAAGGTTTTTTTCCTTTACCATGTCAATTTTTGTCGCGTATTATGCTTAAACTTGCTTTTCACTTTGTTCTATTCAACGTTTTTACAATTCATTCCCCTGTAATTCATTTCGGCTTACCGACGGTCCGTAGCATATGAAAGCGACAGTTATTTTACATGTTTGATGAAATACTTGAGTCCGCATGTGCGTTCTACTGAACTGGGTTCGGTGAGATTATAGCTCTCTCATGTGCAACTCTGCTGCATTTTGCAACGTGTTCTCAATTTCAGGCTTCATTTTCCACTCTCTGATATCGAACCGAAAAATCTTTCGTTCTTTTTATGGTAGCTAATATAATCAAGAAAAAAGTAAAATTTCTTTGTCAGAAACTAGTTATTTTCTCTTGATCATCTAAAGTCTTTGAAGATTATTTTGCGTTTTGTTAATGTATATAGTGCTTAAAAATGTTATTTGAGTACTTACAAAGTACTTATATTTTGTTAAAAGATTTGGCTGTGTGCCTTGCATTATTGGTTGCTTTCTTGAATATTTAAATAAGTATTAATTACTAACACATAATGAAGCGAACCTCATTTATAGAAATCCGTTTTGTTATAAAACGTTCAGTTTATTTTCATTCAGAACTATCTTTTATGAACGAAATGCCTATTAATGTTCGAAATCATGAGTAAACATAATGCATAACGTTTCAAGTATGTTTAATGTCAATCGTAACTGAAAGATATTGCAGTTTTTCTCTTTTGGTGACTATAAAAATCCCTAAAATTCCCTATGTGCAAAATAGTTATTGCATTAATCAATCACGAATTTTGTTATTTCGTAAAATCTGCTGAATTCTTTCCTATTGATGTTGAAAGCTATGCAATTATTTCTTTGTAATCAGATATTCAACAATGGAACTAACCCGTATTTGCGTTACATGGAGAAGAAAACCTCCCACGGTTAGCCTGACGGCAAGGGGACTCTAACCTATGATCTGTCTACCATTGAGGATATTTCAAGTCAGCACTGTGATCGGTGCAAGCCGGATGCGGAATTCGTATCGACTGGGATTCGAACTCGGTTCGCCTCGTTGGAAGGTGAACGCTCTATCCTCTGAGCCATCACGGCTGAAGCTCGTCGTTTCATTTTATTTTGTAACTGTCGTTGAACAACCAACCTAATTTCATGGGTTTACGACTACTAATGTTCAACTCCGTAGCCTTGTAATTTTGAACCAATCCAGAAGACAAGGAAACTCCTGGATCAGTAACCCTAGAGGTATTGATTTGTTATTGGAACATAGAGGACTTTGAGACTCGACAGATTTAGCGTGCACCAGTCACCATTTACTACACGGGGAGTCTTCCACCGGCGAGGATCGAACCCACGACCTCTTGGACTTGAACCCAGCGCCCTACCAACCAGGCTATCCCAGCCCAAGCTCGCCATTTGTGATTGTTTGCTTGTTTCCTGAGTTAATAATCGAAAAAGAATCTCTCATAATGTTTAAAAATTTCTGTTTCATTTCAGAACTGGCCCACTAAAGGAATATTTGAATGTTTGATTTTATGACTTAATTTATTTTTTGATTTAATATTCAGCATAAGCATTATTACATAATTATATATCATTTTATTTCTGGAACAATTTATATCTGCCTTCAAGGGTTTAAACTTATTGGAATCTCTAAACCATACGGATGAGTAATCAAGCAAAAATGAGAAATTTAATAATTCATATACACGCATAAAAATTTATTCCTCTCTTTGTTTTATTGAGATGAATGTAAACAGATAAATGATGTTATAAATAGTACACTCTCAGAATATTTGTCTAAACGTTGAACCATAGTATAAGCGCATTGAACCAGACTATTTAAAAAATTTGCTGCAATTTTAATACGGTATTGAATTAAAAAGCGTTTCCATTCAGGTTGAAATACTGTATCGTGTAATGAAATTTAAGAACGATTTATTTGCGCATGATATGATTTGTTTTGGCGCAGTATTTTAGTTGCATAAAATATGAATGATGCTATGGCTCAACGAGAGGTAGTATTTCCAACAGTTGAAAGAAATTAAAATTTATTCAAACTTCATTACTTTTTCTGTAAGCAAAATACCAATGGAAAAATAAGTTTTGAGGAATTTACGTTTTTACAATGTTGAATAATATACTGTGGCTTAATATATATTACCAATCAATATATATGTGATTTAATATGTTATGATAATCAATATATATCTGGCTCAATATGTAATAACAATCAGTATATATACACTGAAGAGCCATTACATTATGACCTCCCTGCTAACAACATGTAGGATCCCCTTTAGCCCTCAAAACTGCTAGCACCCGCCGTGGCATTGATTCCACAAGGTGCTGATAGGTAGTCTGAGGTATCTGGTACCAAGCGCTCACCAACTGGTCCTGCAATTCCCTCACATTGCGAGGGGGGAGCGTGGCTGCACGAATTTGGTTTTCCAAGTAGGACCACAAATGCTCTATTGAATTAAGGTCAGGTGAATTTGGGAGCCAAGACGTGACTTGAAAGTCACTGAAATGTTCCTCGAACCAATCCATGACGATTCGACCCTTATGACATGGAGCATTTTCCTGTTGGTAAACACCATTCCCCGTAGGAAACACTGTTGCCATAAATGGGTGAACCTGGTCTGCAACTATGTTCAAGTAGCTTACAGGCGTCAGAGATTGCATTATGAGGATTATGGGTCCTAATGTGCCCCGTGAAAACATTGTTCCTGGGCGAGAAAACCTGGGCGAGCCCATTGTTATAGATGGAGGGTGGTCATAACGTAATGGCTCTTCGATGTATATACTATTTAATGTGTAACAAGAATAAATTTATATATGTGGCTTAATATGTCATAAAAATCAATATATGATGTGTAATAACAATCATTATGACTATGGTTTAATATGTAATAACAATTAATGTCAAAATTTCACCAAAAGATTATTTTTATGTGATTGGTTAAGAAATTCCTTAAATTTAACAAAGAAAAAAACCGCAGCTTGTCTCTAAAGGAATGAACAGAAAATCTTTGAGGGATTAACATAAAAGTTTCACGTTTCAATATTTTCCTTTTAGAAATATGAAAATTAACCCCAAATACTTTGAAACATTGGCATGGCTTATTTTTGCTTCAGGACACAGTTGAAATAATTATGCAGCATTAATGAGCTTGAAGTATAAGACAATACGACTTCTGCGTGAATGCCTCACAATTTTTAATCATTTATTTCCAGATTCTTCGATTCATGAATGACAATAATCTGAATGGTAAGAAGGAACGGATTTTGGGTGATTACATCGTCCAGCAGGGTCTACTGAATGAAGCGATGAGAGACGAGATCATCTGCCAACTTTGCAATCAAACGTGGAAGAACGATAATGATGCTAATAATGAAAGAGCTTGGATTCTTATGGCTAATTGTCTAAGTTGTTTCACACCATCCAAACACCTCTACAAATATTTGCTCAAGTAAGTTGCATTTCAAAAACTACAACTCGTGCTGGTTTGACAGGAAGTATGCTCTGACAGTTGATAATTTACTTTTTTTTTGGACAAAATTCTAAATCGAGATGTTTGAGATGGCATCACTGTTACGGCATTATATGCTGTGGGCCAACTATCAATGATAAATCTATGCCAGGGGTGACCAAACTCCTTAATAGTCTAGCCATTTTTCAAAATTTGAAATTTTTTACGAGCCGCAATTAAATACGTTTTTAAAAGGTATCCAAACACCTCTACAAATATTTGCTCAAGTAAGTTGAATTTCAAAAACTACAACTCGTGCTGGTTTGACAAGAAGTATCTTCTGAATGTTGATAAATTTTTTTATTTAGCAAAATTCTAAGTAGAGATGTTTGAGATGGCATCACTGTTACGGCATTATATGCTGTGGGCCAACTATCAATGATAAATCTATGCCAGGGGTGACCAAACTCCTTGATAGTCGAGCCACTTTTCAAAATATGAAATTTTTTACGAGCCACAATTAAATACGTTTTTAAAAGGTATGCAAAAGAGGTATTAAATTTTTTTTACATAAATTATATTTTTTGAAAACATATAAGTAAAAGTACAAAATATGTGTAGTGAACTTAAATATTAAAAATTAAGCGCATTTATTTCACTTTTCTTCATAATTCTTTAAAATTTGGTGAGTAATTGGTGAAAGCACTTCCCAGTAATTCTTTGAGATGCTGGTTAGTTAATACTGATCGGTGTTTGGATTTCCCGAATTATAAAGTGGAATAAAAGGATTCACATAAGTACGTTGTTCCGAATATTGAAATAATTCGACTAGCAGCCTTTTTTAATTCGGGATACTTCGATTCTGGTACAAATTTCCAAAATTTCGTAAACGACGTCGACTTATATTTTAATTGAAGAGCTTGATTAATTCTAATTCTTCTGATTCTTATTCTTTCATATTTGTTCTCAGTGATTTAAAAGATATTTTGAAACACATACGGAACGGTAATAATTTTTTAAAATATAATAGCACAAAAATGAAAAGGGAGCTCAGGTATATTTATCGAGAGCCACAAATAATCCTTCAAAGAGCCGCAGGTTGGCCACCACTTTTTGTCTCGTTAACTTTTTGTCACAATTAGATGAAAAATTACTTGTTGATTGTGTTTTAATTATGTTGAAGATCTTCCATAAAGAATCTTACTAAGTTAGGAAACAAAATACAATGAGAATTTAATTTTTTTTTCTTACAACGTTTCAGTTGGAAATGAAATAGTGTGAACCCTTAGTAGTTACCCTTAACAACAGCAGTATTATGACTTCTGTGAGTTAAATCATCTAGTTCAGTTCCAGAGTTGTTTTTCATGGGAATAGGTCATAGTTTATGAAAATAGCGTTTTCGTTCGTAGGTCTTAATGTAAATAGCGTCTCAGTCATAAAACCTGAATAAGAAAAGTAATATGACTGAAAATTAAAGACGTACTGTTTTACTGTAGATTATTTAAGCCATTCATAATTATGCTTAATCTTTAGTTTAAGATCCCTTATCTGTAAGCCACCTGCATTGATCATGGAAAAATTATCTTAGGCAATCAAACAGGTTTTGATGTTTTCAGCATTAACTCCTTCAGTATGGATTCGTTAGATTTCGACATTTCCCTCTCTTAAATATTAATTTTCGATTTTTATTGTGTGTACTTTTTTGATTTTATTTTCACAAGTGCAGACCAAAAGGGGGGAGGTGGAGGAGAACTGTTTATGTCCGTAAAAGCTGAATCTGAGTAAAAAACGAATTTGAGGCAGACATGGGCCGTTTTTATCCAACATGGCTCATTTTTACTATGCAATAACTCTAACTAGGAACTGATTTTTTACTTTATTGATTTGTCAAAAGTTAGGAAATATCAAAATGCAACAGAAAACGATTAAATTGTCATTTTTGTGCAAAACTAACATAAATCATTCTTCCTCCTTGATATTCAATTATTCTAAAAACACATATTAGGGTTAATCATAACGGAACATCGTGCATTTAAAACAATACAAAAAATTTATTAAAAAAATGAAATAATTATTAATCACCGTTTTATTTGTTTTGTTTGGTAAAAAACATGCTTTTCCTATCCATGTGTTTTTTGTTCTATTTATTATTCCATTCTATAGCTTGAATCCGCTTAATCTATATGATAATTTTCAATTAATCTACATGATATGAGAATGGAACAAAAATCGTAGCGCTGCACTGGGTGACTAACATGTATACACAGCCGTTTCCAGCTTGCAGGTGCTGCAGCTTTTGTCTCCGGAAATTCTCGTGTCTGTGTTAGAAATAATTCTCTACAAGGATTCGAGAATGATAATTTTCTTCATGAACGTTAAAGGTTGTTTTGTATTATGTAGAGAGAGACTCACCTAATTGATTCATTGATTGTTTGTGAACAGGTACGTGTCCGACCACGCTCATGACGGATACAAGGCACATTGCCAAAGAAAACTCCTGCAGGGTCAAAAGCTTGATCCAGAAGGTCGAAGGACTTATCCACCTAGTCTTTTGGAATGGAAGTCTAACACCCGCAGGACGAATATGGCTCTGGAAGCTAAGTTTTCCGACGGTGAGTGCATTTGATTTATCCTAATACAGTTTAACCTCGCTATAATGAACTCTGGATATAAAGAACACTCTGTTGCAGTGAATGTTTTTTGTATTTCCATCCGAAACATTATCAGAGATGCCAACTTGTTCCGGACAGCGAATAAATATTTTAGAGTTGTAGTTTATTAATTGTGATTCTTGGTTTAATAAATTCAATTTATTAGGTTTTTATCCACCACTATTTTTAAATAATTTGAAGGCTTATATAATTCACCACTCTGTAGTAGTTAAGTATATTAAACCATAAAAAAAGTAAGCAAAATTAATCAAGTATTTGCAAATTTTAGTTTGTAGTTATTTACCATTTTTTAAATTATTTTGGCATGGCCGGAGCATTTGGCATCTCTGCATTATTTAACTAACGTTTCACCCGATAATAGCAGAGATGCCAACTGCTCGGGACACGCCAAAATGAATATTAAAAAAAGGTAAATAACTTTATGGTAAATTTTGCCAATATTTGACTATTTTTGCTTGCTTCTTAAAAGGTATAGCACGACTTAAGTACTGTAAGTGGTGAATTATATAAGTCTACGAATTATTTAGAAATAGTGGTGGATAAAAATCTACTAAATTTAATTTATTAAATCAAGAATCACAATTGATAAACTACCACTTTAAAATATAGATTTGCTGCCCGGGACAAGTTGGCATCTCTGTAATAGAAAGCAGTTGAGAAATTTGTATTTGTTTCGTTTATAGTTAACTGAAATTTCTTTATAGGAGTTATTTAAGTAAATGATACAATTTTTTTAGTCTATGCATGCGATAAGTTCAGAAGTATATATAATTATTACTTTTAAGTAAAAATGAAGTAATACACATCATGAAGGAGTGCTTAAAGTGAGTTATTTCATTAAATTTAATATTGCGAATGTTTCCATAAACGGAAAAAGGTAATTAGTTGCGCATTATTTCTAACTTCTAATTTCGTCAAAAAGGATGGAAATCAGATAACTAAACATCTTAAAAAATCGTTATCGGAAGACAAAGACTTCGTTATATGGAGAATATTTTGAACGTTATTTAACGCTCGAAAAAAATTTTTATTATGGGAAGAAATTCCCAGTAAGGAAACTTTATAAGAATGAGACTCTGGATGTTTAGTTACTAAATAATTTATAATGGAAATTATGAGTTGCTATAATCTATTCCAATAATGCTACTGAGTATTTTTTAAAAAGTAAACCATCATTTATAGTAGATTTATTGCTGCTTGCTTCCTCAAATAGTTCACTAAATCGGGGTCAGACTGCATATTGTTATAAATTTTGGTGCGAGTTAAACTAAACTATTCAGTAAATTTCATTCAACATATGGTGCTAAATGAAAACATATCTGACTTCATGGACTTGAACCCATGTTTACTTAATCTCAACTTTAATACAAACAAACTTCCATTTATATTATTACACTCAATTTAAGTTGCAGCAAATTTAAAAGAAATGTTGAATGTTGAACTGATTATTTTGAGATAATAGTAAATGTTGTCGTAGTGCGTGCTCTCCAAATTCTGATATTAATTTCAGCTATATTAATTATTTTTTTTAAAAGAATGGCTTGTATATAAATAGTGTAAATTTTAAGATGAATACTCGGATGATGAATTCCTATTTTGGTGTCTCTGGTTTGACTATATTTATGCAATGCGCATATAAAATGCTCCATTGTAAAAGATCCCAGCATAGCTCTGTTTGGAACTATAAAGAGATTCACGACCATATATAGTATGGGTTTAAATGTGTTGTTTGGAATTTTTAAACTGATTTTAAATGTATTATGTATGCTAAACGAATTAATGTTTCCGCGACTATTATTAAGCTAACGAACTTTATTTTACTCAGTCAAGTTTAAAGCAAAATTAATAGCTAAATTTAGAAAAATCAGAATAATTTTCTTCAAATACTAGTTGCCATTTTCCATTTTAAGAACACTATCACTATCCTGAATAATCAGAACTGAGCTACGACCCTTTTATACGATTCTATGGTCCTCTCCACCCTTTTCCCGTGTTGGTTTGCTTCTTGGTATCTTATATTATATTTATTTTTGTTTCAAAGTACTAAAAACATGGTTTTTAGTACTTTGAAGTCACAACTGCAGTCTTACATTTTGTATAGAGCTCATGTTTCAGTGGATAAACATAGATTCCCTGACCTAGAGTTGTTCCAGTGATTTTTTTTTTTTTTTTTTTTTTNTTTTTGAATTTTTGCTCTAAACTTAATTTGTTTATTCGTCAGACACTCGTAAGACAACATCGTTTAAGGGGACACTTCACGATGGAAAACCCAAAAATCGACCAAATTATACTTTTTTCAATTTTTGTTTCAAAAAATAATACTTATAACTAGCTACAATTTAAAAGAAAAATTTTTCAATTTCATTCATTTTTTGCAAAGTTATAAGCATTTCAAGATTTGTAAACAAGGTTATGTAAACTGTCTGTTTTTATAGTTAAACTGTTTTTTCTCAATGTTGTTTTTTACGATAATATTCAAACTTCGAAAAGTTCCTTGCGCATGAGTTTTGAATAAATCTTTATTTTTTTCTCATATATATGATTGGTCTAATGTTCCGTAACCAATGTGATATAAATAAAAGCTGAATACTCACTGAATATTTTTTAAATTACTTTAAATTGTTATTTAAATTTCAATTTTTAAAAATTATATAAAGACTATGATATTTTGATTTTTTATTTGTTTAAAATTAAGTGCTAAGTTGTTCAAACATATCCAATTTTATTTATACTTATTCAAACTGTAATATAAATGAGTTTCATACAGCTACGATAAAAACTCATGCGCAGGAAACATTTTGAAATATTGGAACATTTAGTAATTTAACTTGCGGATAAATTATTAAAAAAATTATAACTTTTCAACAAATTAATATTTTTGCTTCAAATTTTGGGAATATCTTTCTAAATGCTTTATTCACAATCTATGAAATTTTCATTAAAATTGGTTGATATTTAAAAAAAATCATTTTGAACCTGAAGTGTCCCCTTAACCTGCTTACCTGTAGCTCGTGCTGTCGCTTACGTTTGACGCATTATAACTGATTCGACATTCTATATCGTTGATGTTTGGAGCATTATATCAGATTTAATGTGACATGTCACTTATGTTTAACTCATTATAACAGATTCAATACGTAATGTCAGTTACGTTTGGCGCATTATAACCTATTCAATATGTTATATCGTTGATGTTTGACGCATTATAACCGATTTAATATGTCAAGTCGCCTATGTTTAACTCATTATAACAGATTCAATACGTAATGTCAGTTACGTTTGGTGCATTATAACCTATTCAATATGCAATATCATTGATGTTTGGTGCTTTATAACAGATTTAATGTGATTATGTCATTATGTTTAACGCATTATAACCAACTCAATACGTAATAAGTTATTTGCCTCATTATGACAGATTCAATATGTAATATTGTTGATGTTTGGCATATTATAACCGCTATAATAAGTCATGTCGTTTGTTTGACGCATTATAACCGATTCAGTACGTAATGTCAATTACGTTTAGCACATTATAACCGATTCGACATGTATTATTCTTGTTGTTTCGTGCATTATAACCGATTTAATATGTCATGTCACTATGTTTAACGCATTATAACCGATTCAATACGTAATATTACTTACGTTTCGCTTGTTATAATTGATTCAGGACACAATATTGTTTAGGTTTGGAGCAATGTAACTGATTCAGGACGCAACATCGCTTAGGTTTGTAACAACATTACCTGATTCCGGCTTGTAAGACAATAACCCTTATTTCAACGTTGCTTAGTCACGATTAGGAACATCTTAAATACATTAGAAAATTCAAAATTCACGAATTCCTTTTTCAAGCATCCATACCGAACGGATTAATTCAAACTTTTGAACTATTCTGGAATTGGAGAGTTGGAGAGATTGTACCTTACACCCGTATTCTAAATTTCAGAACACTAGCTCAAACAGTTCTGGAGTTATTAAATAGAGAGACACACGCCGAACTCTTCTTTTCATTACCATTGATATTTAATTCTTTTAATATACGATAGTCATGAAAGTATTAAGAAAAACAGAATCGAATGTTGTGTCCATTTTTTATAAAACATGAACATGATCACTGTGTATTGTAGTACTCTTTTTGACGTTGAGGAAAAACTAATAATTCCAATGCTTCTCTCAAACATTGCAGCCGTTAGTCACGCAATGTTTAACCATGAACTCGAGCAGAAATGCGAATGACTCATCCTAGTGTTTATAATATGTATTAATTTTTGTTATTTTTCTGTTTTAGGCGGCAGTATGTACGGCCCTGTGGAGTCTCTCACCACTGGAGAAGAATTTGCAGCCTCTTTGCTTAAAGCCAGGTGATATTTCACATCTACATGAACTACTCGATGTCACTTATTTGTTGCCAAATAATGATTATGTTTTGTATATTTGCAATTTAAACCAAGCGTGTTATTTCGTATATCGTGGTACCATGTAGCTAAATAAATATTTTGGAGGATGTATTTTATGTAACAGCAAAACAACAATGATTATTACTTCCGAAAATTGTACTTCTGAATATTTGCAATTTAAACAAAGCTTGTTATTTCCGTTTTTCGTGATCTTTTTCTTTTTTTAAAGTTCCGAGAGCATTTTTGGTGAATGTATGTTATTTAATAGCAAAACAACAACGTATTTCCATGTATTAAAAATAAACAAAGCTTGTTATTTTCGTAGTACTAGTTCAGTAATTATTTGCAATCCGAATATTTTTTTGCAATTTAAACAAAGCTTGTTATTTCCGTTTTTCGTGATTCTTTTTTTTTTTTTTTTTTTTTTTTTTTTTTNTCAGATTTTTTTTTTTTTTTTTAAGTTGTGCTATTCGTTATTTCGTTTTCGTGATTTTTTTTTTCGTTGCACCATGAAGTTCGTTGAACATTTTTGGTGAATGTATGTTATTTAATAGCAAAACAACAACGATTTTTACTTTCGAAAATTGTATTTCCATGTATTAAAAATAAACAAAGCTTGTTATTTTCGTAGTACTAGTTCAGTAATTATTTGCAATCCGAATATTTTTTGCAATTTAAACAAAGCTTGTTATTTCCGTTTTTCGTGATCTTTTTCTTTTTTTAAAGTTCCGAGAGCATTTTTGGTGAATGTATGTTATTTAATAGCAAAACAACAACGTTTTTTACTTTCGAAAATTGTATTTCCATGTATTAAAAATAAACAAAGCTTGTTATTTTCGTAGTACTAGATCAGTAATTATTTGCAATCCGAATATTTTTTGCAATTTAAACAAAGCTTGTTATTTCCGTTTTTCGTGATCTTNTTTTTTTTTTTTTTTTTTAAGTTGTGCTATTCGTTATTTCGTTTTCGTGATTTTCTTTTTCGTTGCACCATGAAGTTCGTTGAACATTTTTGGTGAATATATATTATTTTATAGCAAAACAACAACGTTTTTGACTTTCGAAAATTGTACTTCCATGTATTAAAAATAAACAAAGCTTGTTATTTTCGTCTTACAAATTTAGTAATTATTTGCAATCCGAATATTTTTCGTAATTTGAACAAAACTTGTTATTTCCGTTTTTCGCGATTTTTTTAAATTTTTTCTCGTTGTACCATGAAGTTCGGTGAACATGTTTGGTGAATATATATTTAATAGCAAAACAACAACGTTTTTTACTTTCGAAAATTGTACTTCCATGTATTAAAAATAAACAAAGCTTGTTATTTTCGTTGTACAAGTTCAGTAATTATTTGCAATCCGAATATGTTTCGTAATTTAAACAAAGAATATTTTTTGCAATTTAAAAGACTTTGCAATTTAAAGAAAATTTATTGTAAATAATAATGAACTATTTTCAGTTCTTTTAGTTACACACAGTT